ATTTTCTTATGTTCATGTCACATCACTACCCTTTCAGAAGCACTTTCCTCCAGAGCAGGAGGGAACAGGGTGAGCCATAGAAGGTTGTGCTTCCAGAAGTTTGCCCCGAAGGGCAGGGAATGTACGCCATTCACTCCAGCCAGCTCTCCTCACTCCCTGGTAAGCAGAAAGAGCTGGTGAAACAGCTGTCTGGGGTGGAGAGCATGTCCTGCGCTTGCAGAATGGAGCAGAGCAAACAGATATGTACAGGAAGCAAACCACAACTCTGCCGCCGTCGTATTCCAAACAACCAGATTACACTGCAAAGGTATCCTTTGGTTGATGAAAGATGCCAAACTCTGCAAAAATATTCAGGATGGTCAATTCTGAGACAAATGGGAGACAAACCTTAGGCCTGTGGCACCAGTTGCCAGGTGGTCCTAAGAACATGGGCCCACCAAAAAACAAACATGGGCTTTGTTATATACATTTTAGGAGGACAGAAATTACAGAATACCATAAATCAATGCATGTGAGACTTACATTGGTTCAGCTCCGGGGAGGCAAAATGTCCTCAAGCAGGGGTGCTATAAACGGATCCAAAGATTTCTTGAGTGGCAGTTATTCAGTTAGAATAGTTATCTAGTTAATCGTTATCTGAGGAATTTCAAAAACAGTAAAAGGAAATGGACAGCTTGGGGAATGATTAGGAAGTTGAGTTTCTTGATGTGTATATGAAGCTTTATAGGTGACAGACTTCAGAGAAAACAGGTAAGTGTCTTAAAAGGTGCCTGGAGTCCCCAAAAGACAGTTTTCCAGGGCTATAACATACTTTGATTTTGTCTTTCTTTATCTGTTATCTGGCATTATGCCTGAGCCAGGTTGGAAAGTAAACCACATTAAATAACTAATTTTAAAACACCCACATCTCCAGGCCCCTTAGTTAGGAATTTGGCAAGGGAAAGAAAAAAGTTCAGAGCTGAGGCCTCACTTTGTATCTATGAACATATCCTAGACCTGGAATAAGGGTCACTCGATCATTTGACTTGTTTTGGCACCAGCCTGAGAGTCCAACAAGGGACTTCGTGGAGGTTCCCCCTCAGTTCTGCAGGCCCCTCCACACAGGTGAGACTCTGTTTACCTTTACAGTCGGCAGAAAACCTCAGCAGACATTCCAGTGTGCCATTCAGGAAAAGGTTATTTCAGTTATGGTAGAAAAGAGTTTCTACCCTGATGTGCAAGTAATATGTTGACTTCTTGTTTTCATGGCTAATCCTCTAACGCCAAAGTCCTAGGGTGTCCAGACCATGTCCTTGTTCTTCTCCATATACACAGACACCTTACCCATGCACAGCAATTGTGGTGTTGATGTTGCTTTGCTCAGGAATTGGGAACATTCTGATCCATTACAGTTTTCTGGAATTCCATGCCGACTCATTCTAACATTTCCTGGGTTTTTCCTAACACGTCCAATGTCAAGAGGGCAGGAGAAGACAAGTGGCAAACCCTTTGTATCTAAGTTCTCTGTGAGTCCGCATTAAAATGAATTTCTGTGGTTGTTTTTAGCGGTGGTGAAGATGGGGGATGACTCACTGAAACAGACTTGAGTCACAATGTCTTGACACTTTCTATATACTTTGTCCAGAACTGACCCTTCCCAGAAAACACGTGGTCTTGCTTCCCTAAGGAAGTATCTGTCCAAGTCCAGGAAGTGGCAACATCCGCCTTCCAAGCCTGCCCAGCCTTGCCTGAGCCTGCTGATCCAGCAAGCAAATACCATGGGTCCCACCCCTCACACCCTGCAGCTGAGACACCAGCGTCTCGCTGCCATGCATGGAATGCCCAAAAGCATTTGCTGATGTCAGAGTTTTTGTGTGTGCGCACGCTGAGCAATGGTCACTTTGAATGCGGTTCTTCCTTCCCTAAAGCCATCTGTCCAAATAAAGAGTGCCCGGTCCTGTTTGTCGCCTTGCTGTGGCAGCCGCAGCATCCCTGGGCCCAGGCAGCACCTGTTCCCAACTGCCAGCAGAGCACAGTGGGCTGGCCCAGGGCAGGCTTGAGACTCACCATCACATGGATAGGAACAGATCATCTATTTCAGCAGATTAGCTCTCCTTGACTTGTGGATACAGACAGTCATACACAAACAATATAGAATTGTGCCATGAAAGAAATTAAAAGGCAAACTCCAAGGAAGTGTCCTCATGATCATCTAGTTTAGTGGCTTTGAGAATAGGCTCCCAAAACATTTCGGGACTCCCAGGAGCTTTTGCATGAAGTCTTCAGCAAGAAAGTTCTCGGCCCCTTACCATATGCCACACATGGTTCATTTAATAGAAGAAAATTCAGTATATATCATTATTATGTGTCAATTAAAAAATAATAATAATAGGGCAACCCCTTCTGGTCCCCTCCCACTGTGGGAGCTTTTCAGTCCTCTCAATAAATACTGTTTTCTCAAAATAATAATAATAATAGTCATAATAAAAGCAAAAAAACCCCACTGGTCACAGGCAAATGAGAATGAGTATATATTAAATCTTTATCTTCCTACAGAGTTCTCAGTCAAGTGTAAATTCTTGGATACACTACTATCTGGCACAAATTGTAATATAAAAAAAGACCAATAATTTTTTTCAGAAGAGCATACACACACACACACACACACACACACACACATACACACACATACACACCATTCTCTAATAGGACCAGACACAGAATCAAAGCATTTCTGAATTTAAGACAACCATGCTGCCAAAAATGCATTAGTACTAGACTACTGCTATTACACGTTCCCTTTATTGAAAAACTGGGATTAAAAAGAAAACCAAGGAATGAGAAGAAACACATATTTACACATTTTAGCAGAACGCTGTTACTTCTGGGAAGATAATAGAAAAATATACATTCTAACTAGAACTTTGAATGGGGCAAAGGAATCATAGTATGTGGTTTGGGCGAGAAAAAATATTTGGCAAAAAAGATTCAGTTTTAAAGGATGTAAAGGGTTTGGTCCTATGAAATAATAAATTAAAGCAGGGATATGATGATTTACAAGATCGAAGGGAAAAAAGGCAAACACCAAAGGGCACAAACTGTGTTTTTCTATTTATATCAAATGTTCAGAATAGACAAGTTTATAAAGACAAAAAGTAGATTAGTGATTTCTTAGAGCTGGTGGGGAGGGGAGGAGAGAAGAGAATGAAATTTCTTTTCAGGCAATGAAAATATTCTGAAATCAGATAGTGGTGATATTGGAACAACTCTGTGAATGTATTAAAAGACCACACTGAATGATATGCTTAAAAGTGATCACTTGTATGGCATGTGAACTATATCTCAATTAAAAGGGGTCATTAAAAATGATGAGCTCAGCCGGGCTCGGTGGCTCAGCCTGTAATCCCGCGCCTTTGGAAGGCTGAGGTGAGTGGGTTGCCTGAGCCCGCGAGTTCGAGACCCGCCTGGGCATGCGCCTGTAGTTTCAGCAACTTGGAAGGCTGAGGCGGAAGGATCGTCGGAGCCCAGCAGGTCGAGGCTGCGGTGGTCGGGAGCAGCCACTGCACTCCAGTCTGGGCAACAGAGCGAGACTCCAACTCAAAAACAAAAAACAAAAGGAATGATCTGACCTATCTAGTTTGCGTATAGATCATGAGACACCCATTCCAGGGAGGGTTCTACCCCACGCCCAGAAAGAAGAAATGCATGCTCAGGAAATCATGAAGATTCTAGACAGACTTGCTGGGTTTCTCCCTTACTCTATAGCATTAGATCATACACTTTTTGTCTGATCACATTTTTATACTGTGAGTTATTTGATGAACCTAAACATAAAAATGGACAATTTCCCCTATAGTATATCTTTGGGTCTTCATTCTGAGGGCTCCCATGTAGGCATGTTAAATAAACTTGTATGTCTTTTCTCCTTCTAATCTGTTTGGGGGTTTTTTTGTAAGCTGGTTTATCAGCAAACCTTCAGTTCCCCTTGGACCCTACAAAACAATGGATCCATATCTAATTAGTCTTTTTATTCCCTCTACAGAGTTAATCACTATATTATGTGAAAAAAATTATGTTACCTGGCCATTAATTAAGTAATAATGAGAAGAATCATATCTGTCTTTCTACTGATTATACAGACAATAAAATTATCCATTTTTTTTCTTTCCTTCAACTGTCATGACAGTGTTACCTCAAAACACTCTGTCACCCTGGTCTGATGTTACAACATAGCATAGTTGTGTACAGTTTGGTCTCAGTTATACTGAAGCTTGTCTTCTTTTCTATAATTATCTTTACAAATAATAATCTTTGCTCATGTTTTCAAGTTGATGTCTGGCTTTTACTTCCTAATTAAATGAAAAGAGCTTAAAATTCACAAGACTCGCCTATCCAATTACTTTTCTAGTTCTACTATGATCATTTTAGCAGGAATTAGAGTAGTTGGAAACCTGACTAAAATAAATACAAGTTTGACACAGAAAATAATGTGCTTGCATAATGCACATGAACCACAATTAGGGAAACTGAATGGTGATGACGTAGAAAAAGATTTTTATATCTCTGATTAGATAAATCATGGGTGTACGTTTATCAAAAATATCATCACAGGGCTATCTTTTTAAGAGCACACAGAGAAGTCACCCAAATCCTAAGATGTTACAAAGAGACATGTTATTATCCTCATTTTAGAGATAGAAAATTAATGGAGTAAGAGAGGCTACAAGGCTCTTGCATACCTCAGAGTGAATCAACAGCAGAACTTCTCCTCCATGCCTCAGGGTTCTTATCCATATAATGGGCCTACAGTGGGTAGAGACTCTCATGATGGTTACGTGTCTCAGCACATAGAAAATGCAAAGTCTCTGGCAAGCGTCTGACATATAGTTCCCCTCAAGAATCATTCTATAAGAATATTGCTGTTACCATTCCTAGAAGATTGATACCTGAATCTAGAAGCAAAAAATAGGAAGATATGCAGAAAAACTGCCTGGACGTCACACCCTTTGGATTATACATACCTGCGGCAATGTAGGAGCCTCCCCCAGCTTTGTAGAGAAAATGGCTCGCAAAGGGGGCTGCACAGATGATCAAGAAGCTCGCGGTGATGACAGCCACGACCCCCAGGAGCATCAGGACTGCCCAGAAACCACGGTAAACTGGCGACCCCAGGAGAAAAGAAAAAAAGGAAAAGAAGAAAAACACAGTTAGATTGTGGACATAGCAGACTGTCACACATTTTCTTGTGTCTTCATTTTCCTAATCTGAGCCATAACACTGCTGGATGGACTCTTGGGCTCTGGGTCTTGAATTATCTTAAACAGGTGCTCTTGATGACCTTGGACTCGGCGATGTCCATGTGGGTGACCTTCAGTCAACTCTTTTTGCTCTTTATTTGTACTACACACACATACATGCTTAATACGCCACGGGAGCTTACTTTTCTGACCAGATTTTCCATTGTAGAATTGGGAACGCCTAAGGTTCTAGAAAGAGTTCTCTCATGTAAGTACTCACTGGGTAACATATAGGTGCTTCACACCAAATGTACAGACATGAAAACGCGTTCACATTATTCACAAACACTGCTTCCTATCTCTTGCTAAGATGTATTTGAACATAATCATCCCAAATTCCTAACAACAAAAAATCCACTTCTATTTAGATTGTGGCTGTGTCAGAAAATAGTCTAAGGCAATTAGAAAATGGCAAGCAGAACCATTAAAAAGAAGTTTGCACAGCTATGCTAGCCAAGCAAGACTGAGAGTTTAAATCAGATTTATTTAAGGAATACCACTTTCTATTAATATTTTCACTTGGAAAGAAGCTAAAAGGAAAGTACAGGAGTCTCTCAGTCAAGGACAAGCAAGACTGAATTAATGGATGCAGCTGTTGAGAAATGGATTGTGGGTTTGGTGATATATAGCAATCAAACAAAAAGAAATCCTAATGATTATGTTTGAGTTGGATAATTACCAATCTATTAAACAAATTCATCATTTCCAAAAGGCTAAAACACTGAAACAAATTCTTGTTGGTATAAACGAGGAAAACTCAGTGAAACATATTATTCAAATTATAACATTTTAAGAAAACATGAAAACTTTGTAAGAAGGCAAAGAATGATTTTTTTTTTTCCTCAACAAGCCTGCCTCAGAAAGAAGAAATATATCAATCAACTGGAATCTTGGGGAAAAGAGAAAGATGGAAATCTGAGGAGTCAGAGCAGTTAAATGGAAAAGGAAGGCTGGAATTTTGGGGGTGGATGGCTAAGTCAGAAAGGACAAAAGAGAGGCTTTTACTTCCCATGTCAGTGCAAACCACATGGCATGGCTTCCAGATCTGCTGTGTTAGGAAGTCTTCTGCAATGGTACTCAGGCTCAGCAGAGAACAGAGCAGTGAAGAGATACTGATGCCACCTTTGAGTGTGGCAATGAAGAGTGACAGGCAAGTATCTATCGCCCTTGTCCTACCAGAGTTTATGAGATAATTGATGAGTGTCACATTTTACACTTTCATCCACTTCATTTACAAATAGCTTGAAGCTGTCTATCACAGGACAGATTCTGTACTACGTTACACGCATTAGTAAGAGGCTGTCCAGGAAATAAGAAGCCCATTTCATTAGACCCCAATCCCAACAAAAACTGACAAACACCTAAACGAGAACTTAAAAGTAAATAAGCACAAGTTAGTTAGTGAGAGAAGTCAAATTTTATTTTATTTTATCTTTTTGAGTTGGAGTCTCACTCTGTCACCCAGACTGGAGTGCAGTGGCCACTCCCGGCCACCGCAGCCTCGACCTGCTGGGCTCTGGCGATCCTTCCGCCTCACCCTTCCGAGTAACTGGAACTACAGGCACGCGCTACCACGCCCATCT